CCTTCTTCTAAACGTTCATTTTCTCCTTATCTCCTACGTTTAGCCATTTTAAAGTGTCCCATTGAGCGTGCCAAAAATATATGTTGATTTTTTTGGCTTTCAAGGGTTAATAGTGTAAATTTAAGCGTGCTAGCAAGGATCTATCAGTCCTTGCAGAGAGTTTAATTGCCAACCAATTGTCAGATGATTATGTTAAAGTTCTTTCAACCTCAATGAAGAGGACTTTTATTGGTGGCTTTGTTTTAGGAGAAACTTGCAAACAACAACAGATATAGAACAATTCAGAAACTGAATTTCATTAAGCAAATGAGAACTTACAATAAAGTTACAATGACCCAACCTCGAAGAGGTTCACAGCAACAAAGTACTTAAAACTACTTTTAGGAAATGAAGTGCAGTGCAAGAATTGAAGGTACATGAATTGAAGAACTGGAAATATAAAAAACTAGAAAGAAAATATGAAGTAAATAACTGGTTTCTAGATCTGAGTCTGCCCTTCTTCTTTTGGCCTTCTTTTTTATTTATACTTTCGAATGGTAACTGTCGAAGTGGGCTCCTAACCGTCAAAATGCACTTCTACGATCTCTGGTTATGGCTTCGCACAGTTAGCTTCCACTACGCCATTCTTTCAGTTAGGCTTCCCTCCTATATTTGAATTTGAATTTTGAGTAACCATTGGACTACATCATCTTGCACCTTCTAACTGCTCCAATGCTGCGTAGATCCTTCAATATCAATATGAACTGCCATGTGTCTGTTGCTGATTGGAGACTTGCATTAACTTCCCCGATTACCCTTTACGAGCCACGTGTTATGCTGCTATTGGCTTATACAAAATATACAGCCAACATAAATATAGTTTGAAAATTTCTTAGTACACTCCACATGTATGTAGAAGTGTTTCCTCATAAATTATAATATTTTTAATGCATGTAGTTGGTGTGGATGAATAGAAATTGGTTTTAAAAGTAAGAGATTGTTTGGGATGATCTAAATAAGTGCACTTTTTGACTTTTTATGAAATATGGGTTAAGTATGGGTTGGGTTTGAAGTGATGTGATAGAGAGGTGATGTGACTTAAATAAGATGACGTGACTTAAATAGGATAGTGACTTTTTAACTTTTTGACTTTTTTAGGTTATGACAAACAAGGCCTAAATTAGAAAATTTTAAAATGGAAAATATTAAAATGAAAAAAAATATATAAAAAAATAAAATAAAAAAAATATGATATAAAAGAGGTAAAAGTGTAATTTACACAATTTTTTTTCAAGAATTCATTTTTTATCATGTCCTTTCAGACATTAACAATTAGCATTTTCAATGATTTGGTGCTCATACACTAAGCTACCACATTTATCACTATTGATTTTATTTTTTATTTTCTTTTACTATTTAAAATAAAATATCAACATAAGAATAATCTTAAACCCATAGGTCAATAATTATTAAATGGTATTACCCCCGGTTCTCAGGCTTTCTTGAGTGCTGGCAAAAGTGGATTTCTGTTTTTTAATGCTTCGGCAGAGATTCCTCCTTGAACCTTTGATCACATGCCCCATGCAAAATTGAGAAGGAGGTTGGTTTTTATCATTTGTAAACTATATATATATATTTATAATCGGATATTTATGTCAATTTATACACACTTCAACTAATTTCAAGAGACCAATTACATCGCTCACTTATAGAGTGTCTATTTAAAATCAGAACAAATGTCATGTATGAACCAACTTCAATAAACTTATTACAACTAATAAATATTGAATTTAATATTTAAAAGGAGTACATTCTTAAATCCGAAGTTATACCTACAACCCAACTCCTTGAGGTTATCATTTGTGAACTCTATGCTCTCTCATCCTTTGTAAACATGAAGCCAAAATAGTTGGTTTTGAGTTTTTTTTATCAGACAGTATGCGAATCGTTTAATAATATATATGAGAGGTACAATACAAATATATATATATATATATATATATATATATATAAATTAAAACAACCACGATCAAGCAAGCACCACCAAATACGTTTACAATCCTTCCATCGTCTCAACTAATAATTATGGTGCCATAATTTCCACTCACCCTTACTTTACAAAATAAATCAATGTGAATCTAAATCTTGTAAGTTACGAAGTGTAAACAAGACAAAAGAAATGGCTACTTAGGATTGTTTTTGCAGAGGTTAAGCTGTCAACTTTCCTCCTAAGCATTTCCACTTTTTAGTTATACCAGAGAGCTTTAACATATTAAACACAAAACTCCACCAACCTCAATCATCAAACACCATTTTGAATATATGGAAAAAAACAAAAAAAAATTATAATTTCATTTCCTCCTTGTTCTCTATATTTTATATTTTAAGTTAAAGAAAAAAAAAAATGAGTATTTAAGAGGTAACTAATTAAAATAAAAAAGGCAAACTTCACTTTATCCCTTATGTTTTGGGTCATGTGTGATTTACCTTCTTAACATTTGGAAATGACCATATAATTACCTTGTGATTTGTAGAGTGAAGTGCACTATTAGATCTGTTAATAATTTAATGAAAAATACTAAAATACTCTTATATTTCCGTCATTTATTTTAAAGGCAAAGTGCATTTTAACCATCTGTATTTTATTTCATGTGCAATTTATCCACATAAAATCTAAAAATGAGTAAATAACCCCTTATGTCTGTCACATGTTTCACACTTCCTGTTAAGTTGAACATAATGTTTAGTGGTGTTTAATAGTGCACTTCAGTTTACAAACTATGTGGGGAGTATATGGTTATTTTTAAACGTTAAGGGGGTAAACCGCATATGAACCAAACCACAAGGGGTAAAGTGAAGTTTGCCCAAATAAAAATATGGTTGGATAGTATATACTAGGGTTGGACATAGGGTTATAGGACCCACAAAAATTGCCCACTCCAAACCGTCCGCACCTATTTTGGCAGTTTCGCATAATCATTAGGGTCAAATGCAGGTTAGGATTTTTTTGGTTTTGCAGGTTATAGGAGGATCTTGGGTTTTACCAGCAATCGCCTGCATCTATATACATTTTTTTTTTTATAAATATGTATCGTCAAAGTTTCTTGTAAGTTTTGTAAATGTGTAACCATATTCTTCTCGGCTTTCACTCACTTGCAAGTAAATAAATGTTTTACAACTTGTTTTGCATTACAAGTATGGAAATCCAACAAATATTGATAACTTGTAATAAAATGAGTAAAATGGCTTATTCATGGTTATGCTGCTTGTTTTTCACTAGTTGGTGGGTTTAGCAAACCCTAAAATCAATTTTTCAAAAGAGATGTTTGTTTCATTTTTATTAAAACAACTATGAGTTTTGTTTAACTTATACATTTTATGCAAACTGAATGTGAGTCAATTGACTGATCATGACCTATGCTTATGGTCTATTTGTTGGATAAGTAGACTATAATTTATTTGGGATAAATCATTTGAAAAATAATAATTTCATGATAAGAAATATGTGATTTTATGGCCTAAAATAATATTTTAAAAATAAGGGGAAATAGCCTAGAAAGAATATTCAAAAAATGAGAAAAAACAAGCCCAAAAATAAAATTTTAAACAATAAGCCCAATTTGCAAACCGCCAGCATATTCGCAAATCCTATCTACACAAACCGCAATCCGCACTACGGGGAGTTGCACGTTTAATTTTTTTCAAATTGCAAACATGCAAGCGAATTCAAACTACAAACCGAACTGTCAAAAATTGATCCGCAAGCACCCCCAGTATATATAACAAACAGAGTCTATATGTATAAACAGAAAGTCTATGAACTGTCCGAAAAAAAATTCAAAATTTGATGAATTTATAGAACTGCTGTGTTAAAAATGACTAGCTACAGAAAATTATTTTTTAAAAAAAAATTACACTTTTTAATTAACCATTTTACCCCTCCTGAAGCCAACAAAACCAGCAATTTGGGCATTAATTGTAACAGTTATATCAATTGTTTTTGGAAACGAGAATTAATCTTAGGTAGGATTTTCATAAATATCTCAGGAGTGCAAACTCAAGATACAAGCAATGATATGCTAGTCTCACATATTAGGTGAACTATAACTTAAGACCAACTCGCCAATGTGACCATCTGCTAATCTCACATATTAGGTGAAACTAGAACTTAAGACCCACTCAACCATGTCAGTGCTAAACTGATTTCGAATTTTGATAGTAACATTCAAGAGGCTTTCAAATTCCCACTCGTGCCTTATGTTAGAGACCCAAAACTAATTAAATGGCTTGTCCTCCTGCTGAAGGTAAACTAAAGTTGAACACAGATGGTTGCTCCGAGGATGATCTCCATGACAATCTGGCTATGGAGGCATTCTAAGAGATGTATATATAGGGGACTCACAATTATGATGCAAAAGGTAGTGACTAATGTGGAGATAGAAATTGATTCAGAAATGGCAATGAAACTGATTCAAGACGGAGCAAACAATAATTCGACTTACAGGGCCTTGATAGAGTATGCAAATTTCTTGCTGAGAATGTGTAAAAGTTCAATCTCACACACCCCTTTGGGAATCAAACTGTTGTGCAGATTCTATGGCCAACCTGGGAGTGAACCAACAGGAGCATGTTTGCTTATCTTCCTATGAAAAATGGATGATTAAAAAAAAAAAAAAACTAATTTGTCAACTTGGGTCATGCCAATAACAAACCCTATCAATAAAAATAAAAATAAAAACAGTAGAAAAAGCCAAAAAATTTAAAATCTCAAGGCAACTTGTATCCATCCCAAAACATATTTACATAATTTTATACTTTGCAAGATTATTGATATGCATTTTCCTATCAAATTTACTCCCACACAAACTATAATGCAATGAATCAGTTTTTTACCATAAAATGTTTGATTTCAAATCTCACCATTACACAAGTCTACTAATTGAGAAACTATTACAAAGGTGGGTCAGTTCAGTTTAGATATTAGATTGAGAATATACAAGCAAATGATGTAGTAGTAAACATGAGAAATCAAATTGCAACTAGAATACTAAACTAAATGTTGATTTACAAGATGATATCTAATTTTCCATCACCAGTCCTCTCTATAATAACATAGTAAAACTAAAATTTAAACTTATAAAGGAAAACATTGCCACCATTGTACAAATTCACCACCACCACCACTTCCATTGAAATTCATTCAAAATCAACCTTCAAAATGTCCCTTCAACACACATCATTGTGCCAAGAAAGAATTATATCTTCAAACCAAAAAATACTCGGGACCCTCAAAGTTGGGGACGACCGTAACTCTCAAAATGATGTGAACCAATTATGTATTTTTTTTTTTGGTTCCCTTCTGGACCAATCACAAGTAAGTGAGTTTGTGAGAATTGTATTTTTTTAAAGATATGTAGCATTGTTAATCTTCAAACCCACTTCTCAAATCATCCCAATGGAACTCCTCAAACTCCACCCCACCACCAACAACAACCTTCACCACCACCATCGCCACCTCGGCTGCCACTGCCAAAATCTCAACTAACAAAACTGTCATTCCCTTCACTAACCCTATAGGCTTATTCATGGTTATGCTGCTTGTTTTTCACTAGTTGGTGGGTTTAGCAAACCCTAAAATCAATTTTTCAAAAGAGATGTTTGTTTCATTTTTATTAAAACAACTATGAGTTTTATTTAACTTATACATTTTATGCAAACTGAATGTGAGTCAATTGACTGATCATGACCTATGCTTATGGTCTATTTGTTGGATAAGTAGACTATAATTTATTTGGGATAAATCATTTGAAAAATAATAATTTCATGATAAGAAATATGTGATTTTATGGCCTAAAATAATATTTTAAAAATAAGGGGAAATAGCCTAGAAAGAATATTCAAAAAATGAGAAAAAACAAGCCCAAAAATAAAATTTTAAACAATAAGCCCAATCTGCAAACCGCCAACATATTCGCAAATCCTATCTACACAAACCGCAATCCGCACTACGGGGAGTTGCACGTTTAATTTTTTTCAAATTGCAAACATGCAAGCGAATTCAAACTACAAACCGAACTGTCAAAAATTGATCCGCAAGCACCCCTAGTATATATAAAAAACAGAGTCTATATGTATAAACAGAAAGTCTATGAACTGTCCGAAAAAAAATTCAAAATTTGATGAATTTATAGAACTGCTGTGTTAAAAATGACTAGCTACAG